ATGGCACTTGGCTGCTAACCAGAAGGTTGGGAGGTTCAAACCCACCAGCCACTCCTCGGAAGGAAGGTGGGGCAATCTACCTCCGTAGTGATACTGCCTCGGAAACCCAAGGAGGGGTCGCTATGTGTCGGGTCTGACTCGACGGCAAATAACAACTATCTTGCTTGTTTACAACCCCTGTATTCCAACCACCAGTAATTACCAACAATTCTTATTTGCTTGCTTGACCAATTTCAGACTGAGGAAGTTGGTAAAAACTTTCAATTTCTTCATCTATGGCAGAGTAGGCATATGGGTATTATCCTTGTCACTGATAGCATTGTACTTTAGGATAGATCTTGAAATGTTCTTTTTCACAACGAATGCAAGACTGATCCTCTTCAATTTGCCATTCCTGTCATAGTAGACTGATTCAAAATGACCAATACCAGTCCATTTTAGCTCACTAATGCCTAGAATATCAGTAAGTGTTCCATTTCATTTCTGACAACTTCTAATTTTCTTAGATTCGTAACTTCGTACATCCCATGTTCCAATTATTGATGGATATCTGTGGCTGCTTCTATTCAGTTTCAGGTGTGCCACACCAGCAAATGAAGGTCCTGAAAGCTTTACTCCATTCGTGTTATTCAGGTTGACTCTACTTTGAGAAGGCAACTCTTCCCTAGTCATTTTGAGTGCCTTCCAACCTGAGGGGCTCACCTCCAGCACTGTATCAATGTTCTGCTGCTGTTAATAAAAATTTGACTGGTCGATGTTTTTAGAAGTAGAACAACAGGTCCTTCTTCATAGTCTAAAAGGTCCACTGAAACCTGCCTGCCATGGGTAACCCTGCTGGTATTTGAAATATCGGTGAGATAGCTTCCAGCATCACAGCAACACACAAGCCAACACAGTATGACAAACTGACAGCTGAGTGGAGGTGCAGACAATTAGCATGTGCTTTGCTAATATTTATTTCCTGTTTTATAGTTTTCTTTTATTAAAGCTCATGAAGTTAAATTACATATTTTAAATAAAGATATATGAAATTAAGTATTAATCAGCACTTCAAATAAATTTACACAGACAATATCAATGATCAATAAGAGTGTCTAGAAATTTTTATTGTGACATTTCATAGCAATCAAAATAAATACACATTAGCTTAGTAAATATTCTAGTTTTACACACTGGCTCATAAAACAATTATAAACTTCTTAAAAAATAAAGTCTATACATAAAACTTTTGTTGAATTGCAAGATAATTTTTTAAAGTATACATGTAAAATCTTTGGAAACAACAAAATGAAGGAAAAATTATAACTCCAACTTCCTGTGCTCTAGGATTGTTTCTTCTATGCTCAGATCCCATTTTTTCCCACTTCTAGAAGTTGAGTATAAGAGGCATGGAAGACACACTAGACAAAGACACACATTCTTACAGAAACCTGGTCAAGTCACTTACTTCTCTGGATTCAGTTAATTTACTATAATTAAAAGAAATTTAATTTTAACAACTGATTCCAAGTATGTTAGTATACTCTTCAGTAAACAGATAAAAGTTTTACCAAAGGAAATTACTCCTATCTAAAAACTGAATAAACAATGAGGGGCTTAAATTGTTCAATGTTTTCCTATCTTCCTCAGAGGCAACATTAATTAAGAGTGTATCGAGCTTGCAATGTTGATCTTATTCACTCTGAGTGCTGATAATATATTCTTCAGTTAGAAAAGAGAGGTGGAAGGGAGAAAATAAAATTTTATTAACTGGGCAACAACTTTACACATAACGCATCTGCAATTTCAAAGATATCCAGTCTCAATGAACACTAAAGAGGTTTTTAACAATTACAATCTAATACTCTTGCAGTTTATATTATTAACTGCAGAACACTAAATTCTCATGATTATTTTTACTGAATATTGTGTTAAACTTAAAGGGTTAACCAGAAGTTAATCAATAACAACTAATATTTCATGCAAAATTGTTACTTATGATAAGTTCTTTTTTTTCTTGTATAAAATCTATATTCCTTTAAAAAGAAAAAAAAAAAAAAGTACCATGTACTAGAAACAGTACTATACCAAGTATTTCATACATTCACTTTTCTAATACAAATAGATGTAAACTGCAAGAAATGATCAAACACATAACAAAAAAGGAGATTATATTACTTTCATTATATCAAGTGCCCTAACAAAAATTAATTCTCTCTAAAAGAAATCTTTTTTGGTTATAATTTTGATTTTTTTGATAACGACTAACTGACTTATTTCTAAAATTCACAAATTCCATTTAGTAAGAATTTTTTAAAGATTCCAGGGACTGGGAAGGACTTCTATTTAAAACAGTAATTCCATGAAATTTTCTTATTATAGCAAGACAAATTAATATATAAGCTATAGAACTGTACTGTTCAATATAGTAGTTACTGGCCTTACATGAGTTTTGTTTTTTGGTTTGGCCTTACATGGCTAATTGATCACTTAAAATGTGGCTAGCCCATATCAGTAAAATATATACCAGATTTCAAAGAATTAGTACAAAAAAGGAATGTAAACTATCTCAATAATTTTATATTGATTACATGTTGAAATGATAATATTTTGCATATACTGAGTTAAATAAACTATATTATTGAAATTAACTTCACCTGTTTCTTTTTATTGGGGATACCAGAAAATTTTAAATTACATATATGGCTCACATTATTTTTCTATTCTATAGCACTGCTGCAGAAGCAACAGGGTTAAGATAATATATTTAAGACATTACCACAAGGTTCTTGAGTTTAGAATAACGAACACTTCTATTCTTAAAAATAAAGCCTATCATGTTTACATGGTATTTAAGATAATAATGGTCTAATGTCTATTTTTATCATCTTCTATATATATACTAGCAACTGTGCTAAACTGTGGTTAGATATGATTTTGCAAACAGAGCAAGGGATCTTTTGAAGTGATGGAAATGTCCCCAAACTGGATTGTGATGATGGTTGTACAATTCTAAAATGTAAACCACTGAATTGTATATTTAACACAGGTTAATTTTATGATATACAAATTATACCTCAATGAAGCTGTGTTTTAAAAAAGTACAGAGCTAGATCCAGCAGATCCAAAGTGCCATCTAGAAGCTCACATAAGTTTCAGGTAATTCAACTCTACTATCATGTGGTTCTATATGCAATGAAATTTTTCCCATGAGGGTCATTTTACCTGCAAAGAGTACACATTCAATGTTGGATTATGCAATCATTTATTGGAGGTATGAGTTGATAAGGACAGAGGGACACTAGCGTAGCTCAGAGTGAGCTGGTTATTTGCCCTTAGAGGCATCCAGCTCAGACAATAATAGCCCTTAGAGTGAAGAACAATCTTGTCACAAATCCCTCATCCAAGCTGAGCACTACATAAATGAACACCTGCTGGCATTTCAGCATCCTAGACAGAAAGTCAGAATAGATTTATACTAAATAAAAAAGCAAATGAAGGAAAATATATGAAATCTACTATTTAACCATTTCCATGGGAAACAAAATTAAACTGCTGAGTTTTCTTTCTCTATTGCTGAACAAAAAAAGTACCAGCAATGCAAAAACTACAGTCAGTTTGAGAAGGATATTAGGGATTAATAAGATTCAAGTTAAGCACACAGGATCCTTTTGCATTGCTTCTATGAGATATTGAAACAAATTATTTTTCAATCTAAAAATTATGAGATTTTTCACTAAGACCTTTGTGGTGCTGCCATTTTTGTTTTTTTAATGCCATCATCTCCAGTAGCAAAAAATAAATAAAAACAAAAAGCAGCTCCACTTTATTATCAAAATGAGTGAAAAGCTATGACATACTCTTTCTTTACACTATTGAAAATACAGTAAACTAATACAGAGATCAAGCCTTCATGCACTTTAGCCACTGTATTTGTTTGTGCTTTGTGTGGGCTCTCTAACTCACTATTCCCCATGTTAACCAAAAAGAATAAGAAACAGTGACAGTTACATGGCAACACCTAAAGAATTGACAGTGAACCCTGAAATGGATTTTAAAATGTGTGAACACAAATATAAATACTAAATACACATGAAGGCTTGCATAGACATTGAGTTACCTTAAGTTCTCATTTTAGAAGCAAACTAGGTGGACAGCTGAAAAACTAAAGAATTAGGTATTCATTTAGGAATCTTCTTTTAAGGCAGGCACAGATTCAACGGATCTATTTAGTCTATTCAAGTCATTATAAAATGACTTATCTAAGCATTTGGGTAATTCTAAGATGTATTTGTTATTGTTCCAGACCAAAGTTGCATCACCACTGTAAATATTTATGATCTTAGTAATAATTTATGAGTGTTATTTTTAAAACTGAAACATGTATAAAACATGCATTGACTCAGACTTTCTAAAGAGATTATTTTCTATTGGTGATTATATATCACCAGCCATTTCACATAACCTAGACTTTACTACTGACCAATTCAATGTGATGTCCCCAAGCACATACTTGGTATTTTTTTGTACTGCTATATTTATGCATCAGTGCTTTTAAGACTTACAAAATAAATGCACATAGACACAAATGTGTTCTTAAAGATGTCCACAAAATAATGTTATCTAGATATCAAAATTGAATTGCACTTGGTACCACTATATCTATTTTCCTTTCTTTTTAATACTTAAAGTGGCTCAGTGAATTGATAATGAAGTACATCTTTCTGAAAAATAGAGAAGTTTCTTTTGTCTAAGCTATTGCCAAACTCACAGAGCATACTAAAAGTGAAGCAATATATTTAATTTCAGAAAAATTAAAATTTTATAAAATGTTCATACAGCTCTAAAATAGATTATTTTAACCTAACATGAAGCTTTTGCTTTCTCTAATTCCCAAGCAACCAAAATATTCATACTAAGACACTATTCAATTTCTTAAGAGTTTAGGTCCACTTCTTTGTGGATTTCTCTACATAGTCTCCATTCCGAGACACACTACACTAACTAAACAATGTGTTTTTAAGAACATTGAAATGCTCTCTCTTAGATAACTATTTACTTTAGGAATATAATACAATATTGTAGTATTAACTAAAAAATCTCAAGTTATTCTACAGGCTATGCAGAAGAGAAGGTGGATGAATTTTACAGGCCACGCACATGGAAGAAAAAGCTGACTCAGGGGGCCGTGTGCTGCAGGTTTGCACGTGTTGTTTGTAAGGCTTTTCGTAAATCACCATAGAAGTTGGTTAAAGTGCTTGCCACGGCTGAATCTACCGCAGACTGAGGAATCATCCCGCGCAGATCCGTCTGGATATAGCCTGTCAAAAGGCTCTGGTTTCGATTGTCTTTAAGTGGAACACAAAACCAACCACAGGGATGGTTATAGCCACGAACAAATTCTGATCTCTTTTCACTCCAGTCAAGACTTATCCCTATGAGGCAATTTGAAAATAACACTATCAATAGCAATGGTTGACATTTGTCTAAAACTCTCATTAAAAAATATCACCAGACTTTCTGTTTAAATATTTATCTTCTTATCCATGTAGAGAAAATTAAGGCTTAAGAGTGACTATGGCAGAATGAAAAAGATAATTACCAAGCAGAATTCTGACAGAGGGCTAGCAGACAGGCAATGGAGAAAGTTCTAATCCCTTCAGAGTAGATGATATCATGTCATCTTGATAACTCTTTGAAAACTATGAATCTTGGCTGTAGCAGCCAAGCCTCCAGGTGCCAATATTCAAACCTATGGTAGCACAGGCACCATATTCAACTTCGGTTGGTTAAGAATAAGCAAGTAGATATTTAACCACAACTGCCAACTCATATATTATACTATACCAGGAAAAAAAAAATTACCTATAGGTACATTTTACATAGCAGGAGCTTTCTAATGACAATATTTTTAATCTTGAAAAAATTACTACACAGCTAAAATAAGGAAAAATATTCCAACACATAGCGACTCTATTTTTACTATGACCAAGAAGCAGTTTTCAGAGAGTGGCTGGGAAAACAATCTATTCATCAGACACTTCTCTTGGAAGCAGTCATGTGACCCAAATTTTTTAGCCATGACTTGGAGGATACCTTGTATTGGGACAAAAAACTTAACAGAAAATTTTCAAAACACTACTTGGTGTCATTATTTTACTTCCTAGAGCTTAATATTTGCAAACAAACCTTAGTGATTATATAGAAGGGAGTTTTGAAAATGTATCTCACATAGAAAGAAACATTGAGCCTAGAAAATGTAAATATTTAAGCCAAAATGAAATAAAGTGTAGTGTTTTAAGGTTATTACCACAGGATAAAAGTCCTTCTTTATAGCCCACAGTGTAGGAGAAATCAACAAACTCTCTTGGGGAAATTATATTCCAAAGCTGACCAGCAGTAGTGTAACGCACCACACAACAATTCTGAAAGAGGGAGGTAAGAGCTGTTGTTACTATAGGAAACACACAGCCATGGAATTTATATATCATGTTAATCTTTAGTAAAAAATACTCATTTAAAATGTTTTGCAATTTTTATTAATAAAAATTCTGACAGTGATTCTGTCTAGATCTCTATTCTAAATTGTGCTGCTACCAAACAGACATGGAAAGAATTCATAATCAAAATACAGAGTGGTAAGTTACTCAGCATCCAAATCTCTAATTCAATACAGTGAGTGGTCCTGTATCCTCTATGATATCCCACATGGAAAGAGGCGGTGCAGACTGTTTCCAGTGTTTATGATAAGATTTGCTAGAGGTGGTGGTACTTTCAAAATTTTACTTTTCAGAACTCAACTAAGGTTTTACAATTAAAGACACTAAAGATTTTCTTAAGCAAGAATACAGCTGCTGTAGAAAAGAAACTCAGTTCTGACTAATACTCATTAATTAATAAGAGGAAACTCAAGCATTTTTAGAGGCAGCACAAGATTCCCCATGAGAGCTTTACCATGACTACTGATCCTCAAAGCAATTAGTACACTGGATACAGTATGCACACATGCATGCAGTCTCTCTCACACAGACACACACACATTCTGAAGTAACATTTTTAAACAAATACCTCTTCAAAGTGCTCCAAAATATCCAAAGAAGTCATTAAGCTATCCCAATCCATGCGACAGGGCCCTGGGCGTATGTGATCTATTATATTATTGACAATGTCATCTATAACACCTTGGGCTTTGTAGCTGGAGAAACAAAATTAAAGTCAAATGCAATTAGAATGAAAAATTTCAGTATGCCCTTACAGTTCAGAGCTAACTCAGAAAGGAGGAGGGAAGTTAATAAGGTTTTTTAAGTTGAATAAATCCCCAAAACTTTTCTGATAATTAAGTCCTATCATTTTTTTTTTTTTTGATCCTCAAAATTTGACCTCAAATACAATGAGAGGAATGAAAGCCATATTATGTGTCGCTATGAATGCAGACATCCCTTCATGTATGATGTGGTAGAAAATAGTGTACAGAACACTATAATGCTTCCGTTTATTTTGTATGGCATTCTTTCCTCAGTTATCCTAACATGCTATAATATTAGCATATCTGTGCCTTGACTTTAAAAGCTTTTTACTAGGAGCAGAAAAATAGGACAATGAAATATAACACCCAGGAACTGACTCATAAATGTATCAGAACCTGACACATTTCAGAAGCAGCATTATAAATCAGTGGAGAAAGGAAGTACTACTCCACATATGGTGCTTGGATTGAATAGCTATCCTTTTGGAAAAAATAAAAATTGGAACCCTACTTTTCACCATTCGATATAGGTAATCCATCTTCGTGACATCAGAGTACAGGGGATTCTTAATTATATAACACACAAGAAGCACAAATAATAAAAGATTGGTTAAGATTTAAAAAATGTTCCTACTACAAATGACAGGAGTTCTGGTAGCATAGTGGCTAAGGCACTTGACTGCTCACCAGAAGGCTGGCAGTTCAAACCCACCAGCCACTCCTCGGAAGGAAGGTTGGGCAATCCTACTTCCGTAGTGATACTGCCTCGGAAACCCAAGGAGGGGTCGCTATGAGTCGGGGCCGACTTGACGGCAAACAACAACAACAACAAATGACAGAAAAAACAAAAATTTTAAAAACATGCCACAAACTGGAAAAAGATGTGTACAACACACATGGAAAAAAAAAAAGTACTATTGAGACTGTCTCATTCCTATAACCCAATTAGAAAAAGACAAACAATCCAAAGAAAAGATGGGCAAATAATGTGCTAAGATACTCAGAAGGAAATCTGAAAATCAATATGCAGAAAAGCTGCTCAACTTCACTAATAAATAAGTGACTACTAATAAAATACCATCTCATACCTCAGCTTGCCAGAGACTGAAAATTGACTAATTACAAATACTGAACAGAGAGAAATGAGAACTCTCAAACTGTTAGCACACTTTCAGAGAGCAATTTGGCAATGTCTAGGAGTCGGAGCCGACTCGACGGCAAACAACAACAACAAGTAAAATTGGATGATGTATGTATATTTCTGTGACTCAGGAATTACAGGTAAATGCCCAGAGAAAATCATACACACATCTTAGTTATAAGTATCTCTAGCCCAAATATATGACCTCCCCTATTTTAAACCTACTTTTCTCTCCTGTGTTTTCTAACTTGAGGGGTAACACAAATTAACCCAGTCATCCAAAGCAGAAATCTGAGATTCAACTTTGACTCTTTTCTTTCCCATAACCAAAAACCAAACCCACTGCCATGGAATTTATTCAGACTCATAGCGACCCTACAGGACAGAGAAGATCTGCCCCATAGGGTTTTCAAGGCCATAATCTTTATGCAAGCAGACTACCACATCTTTCTCCCATGGACCTGCAAGTGGGTTCAAACTACTGAACTTCTGGTTAGCAACCAAGCTCTTCCCCACTATGTCACCAGAGTTTGCTTTCTTTGCCATGGTCAGAACTCCAAGCCAAACTCACTGCCATTTAGGCAACTCCAACTTATAGTGACTCCCACTGGGTTTCCAAGGCTGTAAACCTTTATGGAAGCAGAAGCAGACTGCCTCATCTTTCTTCTGCACAGTAGCTAGCTAGTGTGTTTGAACTACCAACTTTTTGGTTAGCTTAGCCAAATAAATGCCTTAGCCACTATACCAACAGGGCTCCTAATCAGTCACTGTTTTATCAAGATGTTTTCCTAAATGTAAAGTGCTCAGAAAAATACCTGGCACTCAATAAATAGCCATCTCTTTCATGTTCATTTGTCCTTTTCTACTCCCATGCTACTGCCTTAGTTTGAGCACTCTAATTCAACACTGTATCAGTCTCTAGTTTGCACATTTTTGATTACATAGTCCTTTAAAAACCTGATAAAAGACAGAGATCTCTTCCCAGGAAAATACAGAGTCACGATATTTTGTATACATTTTTAGGGAAATACTAAGATGCTAGTCATGGACCCCCAGAGTAAAATCTCATCTCTTGCTCATTTCCATCTTTCACAATGTTATCAGAATAAACTTCTAAAATCCTTTGAGGATTTGAAGGAGCTCTGGTGGTATAGTGATTAAAGCATTTGGCTGATAATCAAAAGTTCAGTGGTTTGAACCCATCAGCTACTCTGCAAATGAAAGATGAGGCAGTCTGCTTCCGTAAAGATTTACAGCCTTGGAAACCCAATGAAGGTCATTATGAGTCAGAATCGACTAGATGGCAATGAGTTTGGTTTTTGGTTTGAGGACTTGGGTGGAAGGCTAAAGCTCATTACTGAATTCCTGACTTTAACATTCAAAACCCATCAAACACATGCTCCCCTCATCCCCATACTCTATGTTGTAGCTGTACAAACATTATTTCTACTTTCCTAAACAAACTACTAACAGTGTTTCCTACCTCTGTTTATGTAGTATATTCACTTCCCTATTTGCATTATGAACCAGACCTTCATTACCTAAGAAACACCTATTCTTCCTTTAAGGCTCAGATCAAATATTAACTCCTCTGTCAAGTCCTTTCAAATCCCCAAGCATAGTGCTCCACTGGCCTTTTTAACACACTTTTCAACTCCCACTGGGAATCACTGATCTAAAGGATTAACTTTCACACCTGCTTACAACGTTTAATCCAATTCCAATTTCCCTGCCCATCTCATAAATATTTTATAACTCATCTTTCTGGATTTGCTATCTTTGGTATTACATTTCAGAAAATTCTGTATATAGTAAGTAGGACCAGCAATTTCATTTTAAAAAGACCTTAGTCTCAAGGATGTGAATATCCTACTTCAATTACATAAGGCAATTGTCTTCACTAACTTTAAGTTTCTTTCCCGGTTATAGACACAATTCATGTTCACCATAATACCAAAAAAAAAAAAGTACAGATGAGCCATAATAGCACCATATAGAGGTAAATATTTGGTGTTAAATAATATATATATATATATATATATATATATATATATATATATTTAAAAATCAATCTGCAATTGTGCTATATACAGTTCAGTATTCTGCTTTACTCACTTTATGAGGGTTTTCTATGAAAACATGATTTTTAAGGGCTATAAAATACAGCCAGTCCCTGACTTACAAAGTATTTGAGTTACAATGAACTGCATTTAGCATAGTCCATTTTCAGGTTTTCATTATTACTGTTAGTAATAAATACTACAAATAATGTTGCAGCACATAAATTTGCTGATGTTAATATTCTCAGATGTTCACTTGCAGATGTTTACAACACTGCCTTATCTATTCAGCTTTCTAAATTAAATCAGGGGGTTCAGTTGCTTATCACCACGAACCCAAAGGCTGAACACTTTGCTGAAGTCGATAAGCAGATTCAGGACTCAGTGATGCTACCATGAAATACATGAAGAAAAAAAAAAAGAATAAAACTGCACAGAAAATTCTCACTAATTTTTCTAACTAGCAACACAATCTTTATTCATAGGGATGACGTATTACACTGGGCAAACTGGCTGCAAAAGACCTCTTTAAAGTGTTAAGGAGCAAAGATGCCACTTTGAAGACTAAAGTGTGCCTGACCCAAGTCATGGTATTTTCCATAGCCTCAGATGCATGTGAAAGCTGGACAATGAATAAGGAAAACTGAAGAACTGATGTCTTCAAATTGTGGTACTGAAGTGTGCTGAAAACACCATGGACTACCAGAAGAATAAATCTGTCCTGGAAGAAGTGCAGCTGGAATGCTCCTCAGAAGCAAGAATATCCAGATTTATCTTACCTACAATGATCATGTTGTCAGAAGGGGCAGTCCCTGGAGAAGTATATCATGCTTGGTAAAGCAGAGGATTAGTGAAAAGGAAAGACCTTCAACGAGAGGGATTGATACACTGGCTGCAAAGATGGGTGAGATGGCTTGACAAAGTGGCTGCAAAGATGGGCAATGCAAAGACTGTGAGGATGGCACAGAACCAGGAAGTGTTTTTGTTCTATTATACTTAGGTCGCTATGAGTCAGACTGAGGCAACAACACCTAAAAACAACAAGAACATGTATTAAAATACATCTAAGTTTTTATGTAATATTTCCAACCTCCAAAGACAAATGAAGATCCGATTTAGAAAGATGCTGGTAATAAAAGCTGGTAATAGTGAAAACTAAAAGAAAAGAAGTAGATTGACTTACTTTAGAACCAACCTACAACAGAGTCATTAGAACAGAATCTTGTCATAAATTGGGGATAAACTGTAGTCTATTACACATGTTTCATAATTCATTCATTCTCCTACTGTTGATTATTCAAGTGGTTTATATTATAAATAATGCTGTGATAGAATAGTCAAGTACTTAAAAGTCACTATTATCTTTCTGATGATTTAATATAAATTCTTGTAATAAAGTACACTAGAGTACTAAGTATAGAATAAAAGGGACTTGAACATCATGCTGAGAAATATCAAGTACAATTATTTATGATCCCCTCACAACCAACTCAGACCACAAAGGACATGGATATTCTTAAGGCTCCAATTCAAAGGCCAATTTGCTTTTTTGATAATTTAAAATTTTAAAAGGAAAAGCCAAAATTTACTGCCAGTGACCATTTAGAGACTGAGTATGTACATGAAGTTTAGCTGCGTCTTAAGAATTATATAAAACTGCAAGAATTAACTTACAGATATCCACTAAATTCTTCTGAAGATTTTCTCCAAACTGTTACATCTTTCTGAAAAAATAAAACAGTACTTGATTATAATTACATAGACAGGACCCTGGATATAAAACTAAAAATTTTGCAAGGCAAAAGTATTTGTTTTTACATTAAAATAAACTGAATACATTTGAAAATTAAGTAAATTTTCAAAGAGATACATGAAAGGCACTTATATGATCAAATGGTCCATACCTGTATTTCTTCTGTATCTCAAAGTTCTTCACATTTTACCTAAATTACAGACTTTCAAAAAATATTTCAGTAACTTAATAATACCCAAACACTGTTAGAATCTGTGATGGCACTATTTTATTGGCCATAATTATTTGTTTCATTCTAATCTTACCTAATTAGCATTACTGACACATGCTTAATCATTCCCTAAGTGGGTGAGTATGCATTTTATTCATTGACTTAGGAACCCATCCTTTAGACTCTTGTTGCCATGAGCCTATTCTCATGTCTAATATCTTAAGGAACTAATGGAAACAATGTAGGATTACTATCATTGTTTCTTCCTTTGTGAGATGTTAAACCATGCAGTACATAAGCACAATTATGTGCAGCCATCCAATATATGGTGTCTTACCCATATTTTCTTACCATCTTAACATCAACCAATTTTTGGGACAGAAGCTAGACTCCCAAAATTACTAATTTAATTAATTTACCGTTTTCTTAGCAACTCTCCACTTATCATCTTCAATGCTATGGTACTGGATGAGAGTGTTTTTAAGCTTAGTGGAAAAAGCAGCAGCATCAGACAGGCATTCTATCTTGTGTCCTGTTATAGAAATCAAGATTAGCATTAGTAAATACTATAGTTTGATGTAGTAGACTTATGTATGGGTCTCAAAACTAGCTTCACATTAAAATCATGAGGGGAGCTATAAAGGATACTGATCTTGGACCTCATCCAAAATTAACTAATCAGAATGTCTGAAAGTAGGACTCAGGCCTAGGGTTTTTTTCCCTAAAAATTCCCAAGGTAAATAATACAGAGATGAGAATCACACATTTTGTCAGTTATTAAAATCAATTATATAAAAAAAATAAAATGCAATTCTGTTTCCTTATCAGAATCCAATAAAAGAAATATAAAGATCTTGATAACCTAAAATTAAAAAAACACCGTATTGTTGCTGGAAGAATACAAAAATATTTTACAAGGCACAAACCCTTTAAAAAGTACTAAGCACTTAAGTCATTTAAAATTTTTATTTCACCATCCAACAAATTTTGGACTCCTTCTAACAAACAATAAACACTACCAGAAAATCTCTTTCCACGTACTTAAGTATAAGACTATAGTCCTCCGAACAATTTCAGAAGTTTGAAGAACTCTGTTTTCAATATTTTATTATTTTATTTGATGTACTGTTATAGGATTTAATTAGGTATCTGTGCAAGGTAAAGGGTCATATGAAGACTTTTAGAAGCACCAATACACATAAATAGTTCATTATTTTAAAAACAATAATTTTAAACATGATAAAGAAAAATATTGTATCATTTATAATTCCAAAGATACGTTCAACAAAATTTTTAAAGGAAGATGATTACTGAGCTGGAAAGATCCTGAATTCAATGAGAGATACTGTAATGTACTGACTTTAAATCATTTCTGCAAATTATTTGACACACCTCCCATCAAGAGGTAGAGTCTACGACCCCTCCATTTGAATGGGGGCAGACCACTGTGACTGCCTCAACAAATAGAATGTGGCAGAAGTGACTCTGCATGACTTCCAAGGCTAGTTTAGAAACATCCGTTCAACTTCTGTTTGTTTCTTTTGGGATAATCTCACTGGGAGTCTCTGATCTCCATGCATGAAATCTGGCTACTCTGAGGCTGACAAGTGGAAAGATACAGGTCTACAGTCCAGACATAGAGAGAGAGAAAAGTCGGAAGAGCCTTAGCTCTTTCTAGGCCCCAGCTTTTCTAGCCCCAGATGCTAGAAATGTGCTCTTTGGGATAACCCCAACCACCATGCTGACTGCAAATACATGAGAGGCCCTGAGCTGAGCCTGTCTAGCTCAGACTCATGAACAAACTAAATGATTTCTTATTGTTTTGAGCCACTGTTTTGGGATGTTATGTTTAGTTTATAACTTAATAAAATCTAAAAATCAACAACAAAACATTTAGCAATGGTGCTCCCTAATCAAAGCATCTTGAATTAGTAATTAAAGCCAAAACACAGTTTTGCTTTATACAAATATTATCAAACTATTAATATTTATAACATATTTCAATCAAGCTATTGGAATTCACCACTCCAGTGAAATGGTTCTTGTTAAGGTCATCAATAACTTCCATTTTTATTAAATCTCATGATCACTTTCCATCTTCATCTTACCTGATCGCTAAGTAGTTTTTCACAGCTGACAAATATTTAAGTATGGTCTTTCAGGGGCATCTGTAACACCACTTAATTGGTTTTCTTCCTATTTACTCATGCTTACCTGCTAAGCCTCCTTTCCTGGTGACTCCCTCCTCCTTCCAATATCTAAATGTTGACACACTCCAGTGCCTACTTAGTCCCAGGCCCACTATTCTACCTGCATTCTTCCTTCTTGTTGTTATGTGCTGTGGAGTTGGACCCAACTCATAGCGACCCCTACTTGGGTTTCCGAGGCGGTATCACTACGGAAGTAGATTGCCCAACCTGCCTTCCGAAGAGTGGCTGATGGGTTTGAACCGCCAAACTTCTGTTTAGCAGTCAGATGCATTCTTCCTTAGGTGATCTCATTTCTTACCTATATTCTGCTATTTCTCACATATTTAATTCCAATCTTTCTCTCTTCACTGAGCTCCAAAGTCCCAGATCCAAAAGCCCACTTAGAGATTCATGGTTAGAGGCAATTAACTCTTCTCTCCCCTTGCTTCCTCCAATTTGCCACAATCTTCCACATCCTAACAATTTACCATTAGAATGGTAATTCAGTCCACATGTTCAAGCCAAAAGCCCTGAACTTACCTTTGACTCTTTTCTTTCACCCACACTTTCTGTTCCTCCAACATGCCAAGCACTTATCCCTGACATTGAGTGGATTCTGACTCATCACAATCCCATGTGTTACAAAATAGAATTACTCCATAGGGTTTTCTTGGCTGTAATCTTTATGGAAGCAGATTGCTAGGCCTCCCATGGAGCTGCTGAATGAGTTCTAACTGTCAACCTTTAGGTTAGCACTTCATTGCAAACCATTTGTGCCACCCAGGAGCATTACTCAAGTCACTATTATGTCCTTCTTTAATAATCTTCATAGTGCTTATTACTATCTCAAATGACCTTGTTTATTTATTGGTTTACTAAGAGCTCTGGTGGCATTGTGCCTAAGGCATTTGACTGCTAACCAGAGGCTGGAGGTTCAAACCCACCAGCCACTCCTCGGAAGGAAGGCTGGGCAATCTACTTCTATAGTGATACCACCTCAGAAACCCAAGGAGGGGTCACTATGGGTCAGATCTGATTCAGCAGTGCACTGAGTTGTTTGTTAGTCTACTTTGTGGCTACTTCACCTTCAACTAACAGAACAGGGGCCTATACCTTGTTCACTACTATATCCCCATCACCTAGAATGCTGCCACACAGTTGCAGAAGTGCATTTGCTTCAAAATAAGAATTATTTGACATGCTTTTGTCCTTCATTGCTAGGAGACAAATTTCTTAGCATAATTCCTAATTTTCCTTATTCTTTCTCTACTTTCACTCTTAAGTAGAAAAAAACGCTAAGAAGAAAATAATTTTAGGGAAAAGATTACTATAGGCAGTGCCCAGGTTACAAATGTCAGACTTACACACAACCCTTACTTAGGAACCAACCCTCATAAAGCCCATTATATTAAATATTCAAAGTACATACAATGGTTTGTAATAACAAATGAGTGCTGTTTTATGACGTGCATCAAAATATTATTATTTAAGAAAAAAAAAAAAAAAAAAAAAACTCATTGCCATAAAGTCACAGCCAACTCATAGTGACACCTCCTTGGGTTTCCAAGGTGGTATCACTTCAGAAGTAGATTGCCCAACCTTCCTTCTGAGGAGTAGCTGGTGGGTGTGAACCACCAGCCTTCTGGTTAGCAGTCAAATGCCTTAGGCACTATGACACCAAAGCTTCCTTATTATTACTGTATTATTACATCAATGATGTTTTAGAGTATTTGAAGTGTTTCTTTAATGTTTTTTTATGCATAGAAAGGTATACTATTGCAGTGTAGTAAATTACCTGGTATGGCTTTTCTAGCCAAGTCTTTGTAAACTCCAGGTGGAATTTGCCATGAGCAACCGAGGAGCTCCTGACTATTAAAGTTATCCACCTGGGGTATTTCTGTTGTGAGTGGCACAAAGCAATATTATGGGAAAGTCTCTCTCTCTCGGGTGCTTAGAATTCCAATGTTATAATTGGTTAGTTTGGCCACTCTGCCAGGTTCAAAAGGAGCCCTCCTAGAGGCGGAAGGAGTCTCTGTAACTGCTGGCTGAGAAAGACATGCTGCTGAGAGAAACACACTCCTGAGAGACATGCACTGCCGAGAGAGAGACACTGAGGGACACACTGCTGGGAGAGAGACTGAGAGACAGCAGGCTGAGAGAGACTGAGCGTGTTCCTGACCTTCAATTGTAGCCTGTTGCTTCCCTAATAAACCCCATAATCTGTGAATTCTGTGTGGCCATTGCAGCGAATTATCAAACCCAGCAGAGAGGTGTTGGGTGCTGTGGGAGGAAAAGGTGGTGTCAGGGCTGGTGAAAGGGCTGGAAAGACAGCATGTCTGGCCTCATAGGAATAGACCTCGGGCTGCTGATGGTGATCTGTCTTCCTCTTGTGGGGTTTGAGGAGGTAAGAAGATGTGGCCTCCCTGCCTCTATATAGTAAGACTGATATTTGACTAACTGACATTAGATATGAACCCTACCTAACAGTTCCAACTTACGTACAAATTTGACTTAAAGTGTAATCTAGGGACTGTGTATACTGAAAAGGAGATCAAGAAAAGATTTAAGTGAAACCTCAAGCGTCAAACTTCCATTGAAATAATCTGTAATTTTTAACTATGGATATATATATACATCAGAATCATTTTATGATATTTGATAGTAGCTGTTGCTGTGTCTAGATGTTAGATTTTAGGGCCTACCTCTAGATACTGATTCAGTGGGCCTTGGATAGGTTGCACAAATCTATGCCCTTTAAAAAGCTTCTCTGATAATTCTGTTTCCCAGTCAGGGTTGAGAATCATTGATCTAAAAACTAAAGGTGACAAAAACAAGGTTGTTATCAATATTTAGCCCAAAGAAGAGCATGCAAGCCATTAAAACTGATAGATACTAAAATTAAATAGATACATGGGAAAGTATATATACCAAAAACCAAACCCAAACCCCTTGTCATCAAGTTGATTCCAATTCATAGCAACCCTCACTGGGTTTCTGAGGCAGTAAATCTTTACGTAAGTAGATTGCCCAGTCTTGCTTCCACTCCGGTTTGAACCACCAACCTTCTGGTTAGCAGTCAGATGCCTTAGTCACTGTGCTACCAGACCTTCTTAAAGTATACATAAAAAGTTCAATTAGCTAGAATTTAAGACCTGTGTAAGTGATACAAAATGTATAAGTATAGATTTTGAATGCAAAAGGGGAAAATGTATGGACATTGAGCACCCATAGACTGAAAGTGGATGAGGTCATTCAAAAAGTCTGCCAGGCAAGAACATACTCCTTTTCCACATAAGAGACTGACACCTTGACAACCAGTACAATGACTT